TGGCGTTCCTCCTAGAAAACTCAACACACTGGAATCTAGACTGTTTAAATAAATCTCCGACAGAATCGCCGCCACCGCTGACCCGATACATACATCCTCTTTTTGAATATATTTTCGTCCACTGTACTCAACCACTGTTGATTGCAAGTAATAGTCTAAAATACGTAAAAACCTGTCAACCGAAATTCCTGCTTCAAACTGAAATTTTACAAGATTTAGCTCCAGGTGGTCTTTGACCCGTTCCATCAGGAGATTCTTCTCTAAGGAATAGTATAAGTTCTTTATGTCCATTGAAAAACAAACCGACGCTCATGGTGATGTTCCCCCAAAATTTCGATTAGTTCCGCAGTGTTCCTTAGTGATAACGCGTTCGCCAACGGCACAAAAGAAAACCCCTTCTGGATGAACCCCGATACAACTTTCTGCCACGTTTTATTTTCATTGATTACAGCACGTAATGGCATTTCCGGCTTATGATCCTTCAGAAAAAAATTTGATGCCCAATTCTGAATGCTGTGCGCCTCTGATTCTAGTGACTAATTGGTCGAATTCATACTCCTTGAGTTCTTTGCAAATACCTCCCCTCAATCGTGTCAAGTTTTTGTCAGATTCATTAAATAGGCCTCTCATGGTGCGCCTTCTCTCTAAACATGTGAAACGGGAACACAGCAAAACTTCCCGACTTATCCGTTTGCAACAACTGTAAGGATTTTTCTTTCAACTCTCTCTCAACCACCCGCTCCCGAAAGTTTCTCTTTTCAATTGGATAATCGTCCTTCATTAGGTTTTTCATCCGGTCAAGTGCCTGATCAACAAAAGTAGGTCTTTCGTCAACATCAATCGCCCTGGAGACCGTCTGGATATTCGAAAAAACATCAAGGTGCGATGGCTTGACATTGACACAAAACTTAGGACCCTTCATCAACAGCCTTTCAGCGCGTTCCGATAACACGGCCCCACATGGATTGACAATCCCATGTTCCGTTGCGCTGCCCTGGCCAATGTTGCTTTTCTTGGGAGCAAATCCCGTGTTCGATTTGCGTGCACTTATGCCTTCAAGTACAAGCCTTCTTTTAACGTACCAGAGTCTCTCGAAGTCAATCTGCCTGAGTCCAGTCCAGTCTCTGTAGTCCTTCGCCTTTCTGAAGTCCTGTCCCAGGCCGTTGCCCCACAACTGATCACACACAACTCGGATGTTGCCAATTAAGTCGCTTGTGCAGATCCTGTAAGCCTTGAGCAGCCTTTTCTTGTATCTCCACGGGATGCCGGTCGACGACAGGCATCCAAACATAGTCGGGTCTACATACTTCTTTCTTAGGCAGATCCCGAAGAAACACACATCTGCTTCCAATTCAGCCAATCGATGGCCCAACTTGCACAAAGCTAGCAACGTTTTTACATACACTGCCACTGGTGACGAGTGCCACAACTGGGTCGAAAAAAATGGGACGATGCCTGCCTCAGGAACAAGTAATGAAGCAATGGTGAGGGTGCAGGCTAGCTGGTGTAAATTGAGCATAGTTGTAAACCCGAAACTGGCGGTACGGACAAGGGACAAAACACAGAACGACACGGACGAAGTCTCAAACGCAGCTACAAACTTTATTTCACAGGACAAACGTATATGTCACTCGCCACCCTTTGTCCCCCTCTTTTTTCCTTCCTTTTCCCAAAACTCTACCCCTTCCCTCTTCCTTTTCCCAGGCCCCCGTACATTCCAGTAAAAAAAAAAATTTAGATGGCGCCAACTCAAAGTTTCCGACAGATCCCATGTCAACAGCCTACACCGCGACATCCCGAGGTCACTCCGGCTCTCCCAAACCAGTCGCAAAGACGCCGACAGATCCCCTGTCCACACACACACACCGTGACACCCCGAGGTCATCCCGGTTCTCTCAAACCAGTCAGCCGCAAAAATTTTTCGGCTTCCGACCTTAAGTGGACGGACGTGTGACTGATGCATTCGGCAGACGTCTTTACTCTAATGGTCTCTCTCACTCATCTTTTCATGCCGTTGATTTCCTTTTCTACAATCTTTACGTCTCCCCAGACTGGAGAGCAGTCGGCACATTCATTCAAATGTTTAGCATTGTTTTTTACATTTCTTTTATGCTAGTTTCGGGAAATAAAGGGAGTCTAGAGCCCTGGCGGGGTCGTTGGGCGGTTATCCCGTGCCACCATGACATCTCACACAACCTAAAGGCGTGCGCAAAAAAGCTCGGCGCCGACATAGTTTTTGAGAGGAATTTCAGATTGGACCGGTTGACCCCATCTTTGAAAACACCCAACCAGTGTAAAAGGGCGCACAGTGAGAAGTCTACAGTATGCGCGATCGGTGTAATGTACGAGATACCAATGAAATGTGGTGTCATTTATATCGGTCAAACCAAAAGATGTGTGAATGACAGATTATCGGAACATAAAAGAAATGTAAAAAACAATGATCCGAATTCGAAAATAGCTAGACATTTGAATGAATGTGCCGACTGCTCTCCAGCCTGGGGAGACGTAAAGATTGTAGAAAAGGAAAACTACGACGTGAAAAGATTAGTGAGAGAGACCTTTAGAATAAAGACGTCTGCCGAATGCATCAGTCACACGTCCGTCCACTTAAAGGGCAACTCCGCTCAATTCCGAAGATTTCGGGATAATGAGTGATTTCGAATTAAAAAGCCCTAGTAAAACACACTACGTCGTTTGCTTAGCGAAAAATGGGACATATATTTTTAAATCTAATTTTAAACACGAGCGGAAGTCGAAACCGAAACTTCGGCTCCGTCCGGCAACATTGGCTTCGGGCCGCCAAGTACATGGCCATCACGTGGTACGAGATGTCACGTGATCCTCGGCCCAACGACGGGCGGTATGGGGGCGGGCGTGCGGCAGGCGCGAGTGTCGTCTGCACCGCACTCTTCGCCACGTTTTGGTGTCTACGGCATTCGACGACGTCTGCACAACTGCGGCATAAGTCTGCGACTCTGCGCACGTGGTGTCGATAGTGTGGACGAAACTCCGAGAGGCAATAATCACAAAACGATGAGCCGACGACGGTGGTTGTGACGCGGAAGACGGCGGTAACGGCGGGCGGTTGGTCTGCTCCGAAGAAGCGCGCTGCGCAGGCGCGTACGCCAATCACGAGGACACTGCTGAGCGCCGAGAGGCAACGTTGCTGACGTCATGCGCTACGCTCGATCGGAGAAGTAAAAACAAGCAAAAGGGGGCCATGATGATGACGTTTAGCTCAATGTTGGCTCCGCCCATGCCGTAGCCTTGACTGCGCTGTTGGTTGCGCCTGAATTCGCCCACTCGAGTCAGCCGATTTCGGCAGCTTGGCGAGTTGCAAAGTTTGCCGGACCGTTTAAGAGACATTTAGACAGAACTGCGTCGTAACATTTGACGTGTGGTCTTCCTAGACGATACTGAAGAGGACTGCATTGTTTTTTTTCAAAACCAAAAATGAAGCGTAGTTGCTCTTTAAGTTCGGAAGCCGAAAAATTTTTGCGGCTGACTAGTTTGAGAGAACCGGGATGACCTCGGGCTGTCACGGTGTGTGCGTGTGGACAGGGGATCTGTCGGCGTCTTTGCGACTGGTTTGGGAGAGCCGAAGTGACCTCAGGATGTCGCGGTGTAGGCTGTTGACACGGGATCTGTCGGCAAATTTGACTTGGCGCCATCTAAATTTTTTTTTACTGGAATGTACGGGGGCCTGGGAAAAGAAAGAGGGAAGGGGTAGAGTTTTGGGAAAAGGAAGGGAAAAAGAGGGGGACAAAGGGTGGCGAGTGACATATATGTTTGTCCTGTGAAATAAAGTTTGTAGCTGCATTTGAGACTTCGTCCGTGTCGTTCTGTGTTTTGTCCCTTGTCCGTATCCCCAGTCTCGGGTTTACAACTATGCTCAATTTACACCAGCTAGCCTGCACCCTCACGATTGCTTCATAAGTGTCAATACATGACTGCATTTTGCTGAACCAGAACTGTGCCATTTTCTGAGGCCAGCAGCAGCAAGAAATACAGCTTATCGACTAATGATGTGTGGCATGTTCCATTGTGACTTTTTTCTGGGGGGGGGGGGGGGGTATTACAATTAATGTGTAAATCGTGTTACTTCTGCTTGTTGACCTTGGTGAGGGCGTGTTTTTTTTTCAACACAAATGCTGGCACACAGAGAGGACTGCAAGAGAGACTCCTTGTTTGTCAAGCAAGTGACGAGGGGGTGTTTGGCAACCCCAACCTTCGAGGCAAGAGCCTCATGGGGCACCCTGCATGCGGTATGTCAAGCGGGGAGCAGTCGGACAACCGGCACTCACGCTTGCAAATGTCAGGGCTGTTGAAAGTGAGTTTAGTTTTTCCATAGATGTATGTTGATCAACATTCTCCGGGTAAATGAGGATGCACATGCTCTCACTCTGCCATACTGAACTAGCAGTATGGTGTATTGGGCACTAAAGTGAACTGTGAGAGCATGAGCTTATGGGTTTAAGAACACAAGCACATAGAGCCAGAAGCTTGTTCTTCCTGCTGACTTTAGAAGGAGAGGAGTAAAGGGACGTGTTGAATCTCCAGCCCAAGAGTAGGAAGGAAACGGGTAGCTCAAGTATAAAAACAAGATCCCTCTGCAGTGACATTGTTCCACAGAACATCCTGAAATTGTCAGATGGGAAGCGATGCGTGCAGCAAGGGGATCCTAAACATATATCATCGGAACCTCTGCGTACTCCATTAGAGCCTTCATCTACATTATCAGAACAGCCATCCGTACCATTGGAGCCGCTGCCTACATTATCGAAAAGCTCTAGCTAGGCATGCAATAGGAACTGAACCAATGAATTGGCCTGCAACTGACTCTGTGAAATTTGAAGTTGTTACACCAAAGTGCCTAGAAGTGCCAGCTAACACAGTGCACCAGTTCCAGCAAGTTTGTCTCCACTACTAAAGACCAAGAAACACAAGCTGACTGCAGGACAACGCCTCGCTGGTTGATCCTCGAAGGAAAATTACAGCAAAAGAAACGCAACCTCAAGAAACAGGTGGAAAGACAGAGGAGCTTCAGAAGCTACGAGGAGTGCCATGTTGCCGACCTGTCCTACATCAACAAACCAGCAGCAGAGGAGCAACATTCTGCTGTCTTCCTGCTTGAGCAGATTTCATACTTCAGGTGAAGGAGGCCCTGTTGGTTTAAAGAAACCCTCCGCCATTCAATTGTCCTGAGGCACCTTTCGACGAAATTGTATGAGCACATCCAAAAGGAAGGATTTTTGAAGCTGCCATGCAAAAATACTTTGCAGAACTATCTCGGAATTCCCAGTGAAGAAACCGGGTTCAACGGTTTCTCCACTTCGAGAAAAGGGCATCCACCAGGATGCTCTTTTCTCCGGACACGGGAAAGACACGCACAGCCAGAGGTGGGCAGGCGAAGCCGCATGGCTCGGGGTCCGTGGTGACACCACTCACCAAACACCTGCTTTCACAGGTGCCCCCTGCGGGGCTTACTGTTGGCAAAAGAGCAGAAGAGTCCAGAGTCGGAGCTGGGCCAAATGCTGAGCAAGCTGACGGAGAATGCCAGCACATCATCACCACTGCCCCCCCCCCCCCTTCCCCCACTGCACTTTGTTCTGGAGCCACTCAGGGTCACTCTCGAGGTGGACGGGATGAAATTCAAAGGACTGATCAACGCGACGGTTGCCAGGCAGCTCACCGAGCACCATCTTGAGCAGCACTACACAGGCTGGTCGAGGGTATACACGGACGGCTCTGTGCGCCCCTCCGACGGCTCATCGACAGCGGCGGTGATTCTGAACGACATCCCCCGCTGCCTTGGCAGCCCAATCTTGGTTTCCACGCATCCAGTATGATGACAGAACTCTCCGCGCTCAGCCTTGCGGTTGCCGCCCTGGTGCACCTGGAGGCCTGCTCCGACGGTGCAAGAAGCAGGGTGGTGTGCTCGGACTCCCGGTCGGCTCTGACACGACTGTTGGTGCTCGAGAAGGCCCCACCGCTGGCCAGGCGCGTCGCAGGAACGGCAGAGAGGGCTTCCTGCTCCCGTGTGAGCTTGCCTGCAAGCACAAAAAAAAAAAAAAAAGACACAAGCGCAAAAAAAGGAAACGCTTCCAGGAAACCAACACAAGCACAAAACGATTGCCGCGATCACAAAAAACAGTCAGAAACACGCCAATACAACAAACGCGGACATGACGGAAGCACAGAACGACGGTAGGAGACACGGGGAGTGAGAAAAAGTTTATCGAAAAAAGAAGCCAAGTCCCGTGAAATTCCTGCAAGTGGGTAGCACACCACGGTTGGGCGCCATTGTGGTCGGTTTGCCTTGCTGTGTACCCGACCCGGAGGAATAACACAGAGCCAACGGTTTCAACAACAAGAACCTACATTTAATTGGACATGAACAAGATGATTAACATTGTTACCAGCGGCACCCGAGTCCAGGCAGCGACTGCCTGTGCGCTGCCTCTGATCCGCCTTACCAAGGCAGCGCACAAGATGCGTGCGTGGCCGGCTTGATTCCACCGTCATGCGGGAAAGTTCACCACTTGTGCCCCGCAGTTGGGCAACTGAGCTGGGGAGCCACCTGGGTGCCCACAAACCTTACACAAACTATATAAAATGTTAATATAAACATTTAATTTCAAAAGTAGTCCTCCCAGTTACTTTCTGCCATGGTGGGTCCAGCTCACTTTCGAACATCTGTATATCCTTGGTTTTAATTTCTCACAGACTCACAAAATCAAAAGCAGTGCTGTGCATATTGCTTGCCCGAATGTGCGCCTCAATGTTAGTTCACTTGTGGCACCTTTCATTAACACCCTCTAGTTTGGCGAGAAACCAGCATAACATTGATGTACAGGTCATTAATTGTAGTTAGATTGTATTTTTGTTAATTCATGTCGTACCCCACCATCCACGGAGCCAATACAAGTGCATGAACTGGACAGCAAGAAGGGATTCGACTAAGTATCTTACCCTCTCCTAACCGATGTACCAAACCAACGCCACGCAGATAGCGAAATTCCCCCACGGTATTTTCTCAGTCACGTAGTGAGATCTATCGTGTTGCACAGACAGAACATGAGGGGACGTCACCAACCAAGCATGAATCCCAGACTAACACAAACTTAGCCGTCATGTCCAATCTGGGCCCGCAAAAGATCTCAGTATGTGACATGGTATATCCTGTGCACAGGCTTTCGTAGCTAGGTGGTGTTGACCAAACTGGCTTGTGCTTTCTGACATTTAAGGCATACATTATAAGTAACTAAGCCTACTGTGTAACAAGAGATCATTCATGTAGGCATTGTATGGAAAGACCAGTTAGTCACCTTTTTTAGTTTATTTATTTGGAGTTATCAGATAAGCCTAATGGAAGTATATTAAGGGAATGAAGAATCAACACACAAAACAAAGGACAACACAAGCACACCTTTCAACAGCAACAAACATACAATTTCCGGGTATTCTGCGTCTGTTGCTACTTAAGACTTGCTTCTGCCATGCCTTGTTCTGCGAATTCACTGCTTCTTAGTCTTTTGGCTCCGACCAAAATGCTCATCAGTTCATTTAGGGAGGACGTTTTCATAAGAAGGAAAGTAAGTTTGTTTTGTTATTTACTCTGTTCTTTACAAATTAAACCACAGACCACCTGCTGGGTGCATCTTTTTACAGGAACAACCTACTGCCCACTGTTCACCTACAAGCAAGCAGACTGGGAAAGGAAGAAAGAGTGGGAAAGGAATGCAGCCATCAATCCGTGGGAACGCTGCAACAGCGTATGGTCAACACTCTGAGCCGAAAGCACAGGAAAGGTGTGTGACGACAAAGAAGACGTTTTTACTTGTGGTCTCGCTGTTTGTCCAAAGAACCCCTGGTTGGGTGCTCTCCTGATGGCGTAGGGTTTGAGGATGTAAGACCAGCGAACTTGCTGGAGATCGAATGTCCGACAAAGGAACAAACAATGACGGCGAAAGCCCTTCTGGCTGCCTGTGACTTCCCTGAGAGCAATGCAGCAGGCACATATGCGCTCAAAAAATGCCACACCCATTATGCCCAGGTGCAACCTGGAATGGCACTTAATGTGAAAAAGTGCGACCTGGTTATTTATGCTGACATCAATGGCACCATCGAAGTTTAGAGTCTGGTGTATGATGAAGCCTTTCTTTGGCCCCTGTGTACTAGAATAAAGAATGTGTACTTTGAGCATGTGCTCCCAGTTCTGTGTTCATAAGCATGCCAGATAACCATGAGATAAAGTGCCAAAATGTGACAGGAGCGTGTACTCGGCACTTGAGTGGCTAAGATGACTTGTCGCATTTCAAGAGTTGGTCATAGACTTCAAGGCTTTTGGTGTTTTGTCACATTGTGTCTTGAAGCAACCTTTTATTTTCGATTGTATATTGCTTGATTGATTGATTGATTGGGGTTTAATGGCACAAAGGCACCTTAGGCCATAGAGCGCCATACATCGTACCATTACAGGAAAAGGTTTAGAAGGAGGAAAAGAGCTTTAGTAGCTGATGAACAAATAAAACAATGAGCATGACACGGTGTGTATAATTATGTAAGTGATAATATAAAAATTATGGCTTCAAAACTACAGTTGGTGTAAAAGGCCGAGGTCTTTTAGGAAATTAAAAACCTGAGTATGGTTAATGAAAAGTGAAATCGGCGATCAGTGTCATATGCAGGGCATTCAAGGAGAATGTGCACTGCACTTAGGGGTTCTGTACAGTGCTCACACATGGGTGGATCCTCTTGACAAAGCAAATACCCATGCGTGAGATGCGTGTGGCCAATTCTTAATCGGCACAGGATTACCTCGAAGAAGCGTTCCCGGTGCCGGGCACTCGCCCATTCCTGTAAAATAGGCTTTACAGAATAGAGTTTGTTGTTGACTTCAGTGCTCTATTCTTGTTGCCATTTATATCTTATGTGTTTCCTTAGGGCTGCATGGTAGTCTCTGTATGGTAGGTTTTCAATATCCACATTTCTTTCACTACGTTTGTTTGCAGCACGCTAAGCCTCTTCATTTCTGGCAATTCCTACGTGGCTAGGAACCCAGCAGAAGACTATTTGAATATTGTTTTCCAATGCAGTACTCACTTTGAACTGTAAATCAGAAACAAGGGGATTTTTTGTTGCCTCAAGCGATGCGATTGGTTGGTTGATTGATTTGGTGTTTATGGGGCAAAAGCTACTAAGGCCAAAGAGCGCCAAAAACGAGACTATTGCTGGAAAAGGTTTGGAGAGAAAAAAGAGGCTTTAGTAGCCAGAGATTAGATAAAAGATGGTAATGGGGTACCAAAAGGTAAAAGAGTGATGGGCATGATCTCTGGGTTAAGAAAGCTACAATCGGTGCAGAAGGCCGATACTATCTAAAAATTTGAAAACATTAGTGTGTGTCACAAGAGAATCATCACTTAAGAGCAGAGCTGGGTGTAGTGGGACTTCTTGATACAGTTGCGAAAAATACAAAAGACGTTCTTCATGATAAGCAGGACATTCAACTAAAATATGTAAATGCTTAAGGCATTGTCACACTGCTCACAAGTGGGGGCATCTTCCCCACGGAGGAGGTAGCCATGAGTCAAATGAGTGTGACCAATCCTGAGCCGGCAAAGGACAACCTCAAAAAACCGCTCCTGGTGGCGTGCACTCTGCCATTCGCTCAAAAGAGGTTTGATCATGTGCAACTGGTTGCCGATTTCTTGGTCCCATTCAGTCTGCCATTTGCACTTAATGTGACGCCTGAGAAGGCCTTTGTAGTCTGCATAAGGAATGCTGTGGAGGTCAACTGTTCACTTTACACAAGTACTTGCTGCGCGATCTGCTGCCTCATTGCCCGGAATGCCCACGTGGCTGGGAATCCAGCAAAATACAATTTCGTATCCCTGTCCTGAGGCAGCAACAACCTTATTTCGCAGTTCAAGGAGCAGGAAGTGCTTGAGGGGTGTTAGTGAAGACAGTGCATGCAATGCACTGAGGGAGTCGGTGTATACGATGGAGCGAGAAAGCTTTTTATCGAGTATGAAGCCTATAGTTAGGAGCAGACCGTAGAGCTCTGCTGTAAAAATAGAAGTAGAGGAGTTGATTCGCCTAACAAGTTGAACTGTCGGGCCAATCATGGAACACCAAACAGCAGATTCCGTCTTTG